TTACAGCAATTTAGTCTGTGCGAGTTACGGAAAACAGTCCACAAATTAATCACAAATAGCTGCGGTTCTCAGAGCGTACAAGGTTTTCTTTCGAGTTTGTAAAACAAACAGCAGAACGTCACCACAGCCTTTAATTTCTTCTTGTACATACCATTCACAGTACATTAACAGCCCAAATAATATTGCACTGGATTATTTTAAGAGTTTTTCATCTTGCAAGTAGTATTCACTTTTCAAAGCCAACAGATGAACAATTTGGTCAACTTGCACCAAGAAAACGGTTAGATAAGAATCCTATACTTTATTCATACCACACGGATTTGTAACCCCACAGGGAAATGAGAGCGAGCTGTAAACTGTTTCCTTGTTAAAGATAGAAAATTAGTAATTCCTTGCTGATTAAATGTAGAAAGACTGGGAAAAAAACAACCAAAATCTGAAAGTTATCTCATTCCTGTTAGACTGCTTGCTGTATATATAATTATATTCTATACTGTGAGAGTCCATCTACATTTAAAAATCCAGCAGTCTACAGATTAACATGGTAAAAAAAAATAATATATTTTTATGAAAAGAGAAGAAATAGTGTTTGCCTCAGAGGAGAAAGTTTTCAGATTGTGAAGTCTTTTCTTTTATATAGGTGCAATCTTTGAGGCAACAAAATGTCTTTTGGCATTTGGCACGCTATTAAGGACAATATTTTAATACTGGCACAAGCTAAAAACAGCACAGGATGACAAAATACAAGACATGAAACGAACCGCAGCCACTGGGATGATGGTAAGCTAGTTTGAATGTACGGAGAACTCAAACAGTTTTGCTGAGGAATCGTGAAAGTTTCTGCAAAACCATACTGATGTTTCTTTAATTTTATTTTCTTTTACCAAATTGTAAGTTTTACTAAACTTGGAGGGAGAAAAGAGTTTCAAATGTCCTCTAGAAAATCAGCAGCTGCTGGACAATCAACACGGCGGCTTGTTCAGCCGTCAATAGGCGTGAGGCTCTTTGTGACTCAGAGCTCGAGTGCGTGAGGCAGAGGTGGTGGCACTTCGGATCACTTCCATCCATCTGTGAGGAGGCACGAGGAGAGAAACAAAGAGAACGGTCAGTTCCTCAGAAAGATTTCATGGAAGATACAGCCCACACTATGACCCGTCCACGGTTTTATTCTTGGTGCCTACAGGAGTGGTTTTGCTTTCTGCTTTGCTCCCAACTCTGCCTGAAGCTCAGAGGCTCTAGATCCAAGTGGCTGCCAAATACATTATGAAAGGAGGTTTAGAAAGGATGAACAGGGGGATTGAGATGCAAAAATCATTAATCTAGTAGTAGTTTTGTTCTGTGGACAGGAAATCCTCTCTTTTTTTTTTTCTGGATGGTCCAAGTGATGAGATGTTGAGACCAACCACTCATCTCTAGAGAAAAAATACGTAATTTAGCTGCAGTTTCTACTGCTTTTTCCTAGAAGCCAAAATGAGGTTTTGTGTATTTTTTCCCATTCTACTCAATCACCTCTTTCCTACAATTTGCCTTATTTGTAGTTTCAGACCGACAAGGTTAAAACTTAATAATAGCTTTGCTCAGTAAGAGAGGGCATTAAGATTTTTGACGTGCTAATGCTTCATATAAAAGAGCTAAATTAGTTCCTGGTATCAACGACCTCAAGCTACAACCTAGGAGTAACAGGGCCTGTTTCTTGGCTCCTCGCATACTGAAATTCAGTGGGAGGTGTAAAAATGATGTGCTGAAGCGCATAGCGAGAACAGCCGCTTCTGTGAAAAATTACAGTTTTATTTCAGGTGTGGATTATCCATCCAGCTGTACCGGTCAAAGAGAAGTTATCCTGAAGTCTGAGACACTGAGCTCCCTGTGCAGCTGGTCTTGCCAGGTCTGACCAGATAATCCTGGTCTGTAACGTAGGATTTGTAGTGACTGCTATTACAGCTACCACGTTATCAAAACCAGCCACCGGGTTCTAGCATGACGGGGTTTAAAATTCCTTTTAAAATTTTAAAGGGTTCTTTCTCTAGTTGGGCTGAACTACTTGCCCGCGTCGCCAAATCAATTTACTAAACTTTGCACCTTCTAAGCTTGCTTGGAGAAAAAATCCTGGGATTTGGGAGAATTCCCTCTCGCAGAAGACAGACTTACCTTTCAAAAGTGTATTCGCTTTCAGCCCTGAAGTAGTACACGTGGGATTTGAAATGTAACTTGAACACATAATCTTTGTGAATGTTTTCGGATTCAGAAGGAATGGTGAGTGAATATCCCAATAAAGGAAGGCTGGCTAAAGGATGATTGTCCTGAAAAGAAAGGATGGAAAGTGTTGTGAGATCAAATGCCCTGAAGTTAAACAGAAGACGGATACACACTCGACTAAAGGTCGTCATCGCATTTTCACACACGCATGGAAAAATACACCCGCTTTACATAATTGCAACGGACTTAATTGTCCAGCACTTTCAGCCTTGCCCATTTTCATGGATCCTTCTCAAAAAGATCTGGTGCAGGCTGGTCCTATCAGTATTTCCTCCAAAGAAAGTAATCTGAAATCTTGGACTTTCACTACTTTCAAGTAATCAAACATAAAGCTCCATCATTTGGCATCTGCAGAGCGCCGTGCATGTTCATCCTAGGCTTGCAAACACCTCCTCCTACAAAAATGCTCTTGGCCACCCTGCGGCATTCACTGCTTTGCACGCATAAACGAGTCATTTTTTTATCCTGCTTATGTGTAGAATATCCTACAATCCGTTCTTACTTTTTATAGTGCAGAAATGGTATCGTTAAGGATTCCTATAGCAATGAAAGGATAACGTAGCAATTTGAATTATTTTATGCTTATGCCCTGCTCAAACACAGAGATTCAAAAGCCCAACAGATTCTAGATGGAAAATCCCCCACGTCTGCAGTGGGACATTTGCTCAGATGATTTAGTCATCAGCTGCTGTTCTGTCATCTGACTTAAGTGCCAGTAATAGTAAACAAAATTTATAACTCACTGTTAAGTCTTTAATCACAATAATAATCACAGAATCACAGAATCGAATCATAGAATCACAGAATGTGTTGGGCTGGAAGGGACCTCTGAAGGTCATCTAGTCCCAACCCCCCTGCAGTGAGCAGCGACGTCTTTAGATCAGGTTGCTCAGAGCCCCAGCAAGCCTGACCCTGAATGTCTCCAATCTCAGAATTCACACAAACGAAAACTTGTGTAACTGCACTGCAATTTCTGAGCAGCAGCGGTATCTGTTGCCCTTTTAGGGGTGAAAAGCACCGCGACTGCCCAAAGTTCTCCACAAACAAGCACGCATTCTCCAGTTCACGAGCCAGCAGGCTGAGAACAGGCCCCACTCCATGCTCCAGCGGCAGCACAAGGCCCCAAAGCTGTGACCACTGCGCTGGCTTCTCTCGCCTGCAGCATCTGTGGCTGATCTGCTTGTCTCTCTGCTATGGCTTGGAAAAAACCCAAAAGGTCTTGTCCAGCCACACACACGTGTGCAGTCCATTACCTGGTGCGATTTATAGAAGAACATACAGAAGTTGGTGAACACCACCCAAAGCTTCTGCCACCCATTGCTGTTCTTGAATTTTCTGAGGAGGTTTCCAGACAGCTGGTTCTGAAACAGACCAAAAGTAGCCAAATAAAACAGTGAAATGTACCTGCAGTTTACGTATTGTATGAAAAATTATCTGCTTTTATCTGGTTGTATGTGACCTTGTTGCACGTGAAAATGCTTTGGTTGAATGGAAGTATTTTTCTTTTGCATTTTTCTACTACTAACTAGTACTTTATGTACCATTTTTTGGGGTTGTAGCAGGGTACTTCAAAGGCTTCGAGCTACTACACTTTTTGAGGTGGCTTTCAGTAATATATTATTAAACATTGGTCTTGTTATCCTGATCTGTGTCTTTGCTGTTTTCAAATGATACTTAAATAGAATAATGGAAACAGAAAGTCTGACATGAATTTGTGACGAAAAGGAAAGTTATGACATACTTCAGAATTGCAGATAGAGGTTGGGGTCTCAGTATCCAGTGGGTTCACATGGTAACTTTTCAAAGACTTCAGAAGCAAGGACTGTTAACCTTAGTCAGATTTTGGATATTTTAACAAAAAGGAGGAAGAAGCTGTAACTCAATACAAGTATTTAACATCTGGGATAAGAAACTACTCTTCACATACAGATGATGTGAAGTCCAACATCATTGCGCCTTGTAAATGAAGGGGAGTTCTCAGTGAATTATTACTTCCTTCCCATTCCTTGTAAGGACTCTCACAGCTGGATGAAAACAGCTGTTTTCATCATTCTCACTACATAATGCAGAAGCTATAACCACTTAGTCTATAAAGCTTAATAGTCAGAGTCTGGTGGTCCTGCTGTAGCTATTACGAATGAAATATTCTTGAAAATGTTCTGTTTTCCCTGGTCTCGGGTATACATTCGAGCCTTTGCTTTCAATCATCCCATTCTCCAATATCTGGACTGTTGCTTCCTTGCCCTAAGTTACAGGCGTACTCCTTAATTTTCTGTTACCTCGTTACTCTGGAGGATATCATAAAAGGACAGGCTTTGCATTCGGTACCAGCAGACATATGAAATGGAAACAGGCCGCTGATCACTGATCAGTCCAGCAGGTAGGGAAGTACAGTCACTGACAGAGAGAGGATCTTCTACCACGAGAGAGACAGAAAGGAGGGAAAGACACAAAGAAAATAAACGATAATGCTGAAGTGAGAGCCACCAACAGAATGACGTGAGCATGAGCGTAACCTGTCACGCATGGAACAGCAGCAGAGCTGAAGATGCTTTTCACAGAACAACGTATGTCTCCGGGGTGTGCGTTTGGTCTTCGCTGCTTTGTTTGCATTCATTTGAGGCACGGGGTGGTACAAAAATAAGGAACAATGAGCACTGATCTCAGGCAAAAAGATTTGCCTAACCAAATGTTTTAATCATTAGAATTAGTCACTGCTTTAAGTTTTATGCCTATTTCTCATAAGCCTTCTGCTTTAGGAAAAACTACAACAGGCTGAACTATTCCTCTCTTGCAGGATATGAAGGTATGAGCAGCAGAAAATCCACCTGCATGGGATCAAAATGAGGCTCTACAGTTAGTGCTTTGTAGCACAAATAATTTTCTTTGTCATATTTCAGCCACAAACTCACCTTCTGTCTAAAAAACAGAGGCAGTTACGCCATCTATGAACACGGTCCTTGCATCTCTACATTCTGGATCAACATATCTTCTCTAGAGCAACGTTGGCCTGAGGTCTGAGAGCTGCCTCCTGCGTGTGAGCGGACTCGGCTTTAGGGCCCCTTTTACCGTTTTCATTGAGCACAAATTTCCATTTGATGAGGACTGTGATAAAGTACTCAGAGCTCCCTGGAGTCTCTCTTAGCTGAAGGAAGAACACCTAAGCTGGCTTAGCACCGCAGCCTGAAACCTAAGCTGAACTAGGAGTCTTTCATTTTAATCTTCGAAAAGTCAGTGTCTGCGTCTCATCTGGTGAGTACAGAATCAAAGAACACGTATCAAACTGGCTTAGCTGTGATTGGGATGGGGGGGTGGGGAAAGGATTTTTGTTCTGAGGTGGAGAACGCAAATAAAGGAAAAGCAAATGAGACTGAGCAATGAGACAAGGTTCCAGAAAAGATGGCTAGGTAAAGAAAGTACGTTAGTAATACACGTAATTAAAACTCTGGCTGCAGCAGCTAAAGACAATATCCTTTCAGCTCGAGCAACGGCTTAATGCTTCTGTAATGGAAAGCATTAAGACAGTTTGACCTGCGTTAAATTTTCAAGGGCATCAGTGGTTTGGTTTTTTTTCGAACAGTTACTTCTACGAAATCACTGCTCTAACTCATTTTTACAAAGATGCACTAAGGGAGCAGATATGTGCTTCTCGACTGATAGCTTAGGCCATAATTTGAGGATATGGGAGAGCCAGTTTCACAGGTGTGCCCAAAACCTCCCCAGAAGGAGACAACGGAACAGCGCCCTTGGTTAATGAGGAGCAAAAAGGAAATTGTCATTTGAGAGCGAGTCTGGAGCTGCAGTTCAGATCGTTCTGAGGCAGATACCTCCACAGCAATACTAAAGTCGATCATTGAAACACTGGTATTTCTGTGCCAGCAGACGTGCACCGTAGTGTTGCCACGGTGTGGTGACTGACGTTCGAGTGAGGTGCGGGATGCACTGAGGTCGTCCTCAGATTCCTGGTCTACAGTAGTTTCGTCAGGAGACTCTATGAAATGCAGGGAAAAAGCATCTTTCTTCCTCTATGCAACAACATATATAATTGGAAAAAGTAAACAAATCAATTCTGTCCACAACATTGTGAACTCATTTTAAAACACACTTTTAGAAATAATTTTGTGCTGATGTTAAGTAGTTTGTTTGTTGGTTTTTGTTCTTTTCTTTTTTTTTTTTAATTAAAAAAAAAAAGTGTTTCTGCAAGTGTTAAAAGCAAAGACTAACTACTGTGCTTTGTTGGTGCTTTTTATACCTTCTAAGGACAGGCACTGCCCAAACCTTGTTAAATAGTTCCTGGAATCATTACACTTAAAGTCACTTCTCTATTCAGTGAAACTTTCTGCTAACATCAACAAGAACATTAAAATGGCACATATATATATATACATAGTTGTATATACAGATATAAATCAACTTCTAATGTATCGGTTTGAGCTGTGGCCAGCACTTTCCATCACTTTGCTTAGAACAATCACGGATCGTACTGACAAAAGTGAATAAAACCTACTCTCCAGCATCTACTTACTGTTGTCAGGCGGGCTGCTGGCCAGTAACTCTGGGGCAGGGTCACTGCTTTTCTCTGCCAGGTCTATTGCCATCTGAATATCTTCAGTCCATTTGTCCATTTCAGCACGGGTACTAACAATGGAAAAGCAGGTTTTATTCACTTTCAGACAGGCTGAAAGCAAACTGTAAGAAATACTCACAAGCTGAGCTTACTTTTAATTTAAAGAAACAAGATGCTAGGGTTTTGCCCCCCAATAACTTAGCTTTGGTTCTGATATGCACAGCTGCCACTCTGTTTTGTTCCATTCACCTTAGGTTTTTTGTGTTTGTTTTTTTTAAATGGCTTTCACAAAAGAATATACTTTTGAAATCATTTTAGGAGCAAATCCAAACATAATGGTGCCTCTCTGCTTTTCTATCTGTCCCACTGCAAAAGCTGCAGAGAAATACAGTTTACATGGGTACATTGTCTCCACTGAATTACCTTGCAGCAATGACGATGGACTGGTGTTGACCTCGTAGTGTTAGACAATGAGGAACCCCCCATTCCTCTTCACTTTCTTCTATCTGAGAGATAAAAGCTCAAATGCAGTCACATTGAAAGAAATACTTTTTTTTTTTGAAGGTGAAACAGTGGGCTGAAGTTCTTACCATTGGGAAAAGAAAGCTAAGAGATACGTCCACAACAACAATTTCAAGCTAGGTATTGTGAAAAAAATGGCTTCCAAGCTGGAAAAACAGTTCTGCAAGAACCTCTTAAACTAAAAATATGGCTTTGTCTGCTTTGTGTCAAAAAAAAAGGAAAAAAAAAAAAGAGTATTTTTATCAGAAGCGTGATTCATCATACAAAAGGGCATGTCGAAGGCTGCGAGTGCTCTGGACACTGCAGCACAACGTAGTTCTGTTGTGAGCAAGTCCACACCAAACGGACATCAGTCACTGAACAGATTCCTAGGGAAGCCAGATAAAACTGAAAGCCTCACAGGTGTTTAGAGCAATTACCATAGTAGCGATCACCTAACTCAGTTCTCAGGAAACCAGCATGGAACGGATACAAACTCACGAGAATTTCCAATCATAGTAACAGGGGGAACAAAAGCGTTTTGAAGCTAGCAAAAACATTTTTGAAATCACGTAAGAAGAGGAGGTAACTAGGTGATCGAATTGGCTGTTTTCCAGAAGAATTGCAACAAGAGCTGCAATGGACACATCACTGCCGGTTTCCCACAATTGTAGTCCTGCAGAAACTCACCAGGCTATTAAGATGGGACCACAAATGGCCATTTGAGCACGAATCCCTGGAGGTCTCGCAATACTTACTGTCATGCCATACAGTGGAAGATGCCCGTGGACTTTAAACTGATTCGACGCTGTCAGGCCTCTACTTGTGTACAACAAGATGTCGTTAAACTTTAAAAAAAACCGGAAGAATAAGCGTTATTGGCATGATGTTGGCATGTATGCACATAAAAAAAATTAAAATCAGAAATATGGGAAAGCTACCCAATAGTGGCTGTCTACTTATATGGCAGTCCTAATGAACAAATCCAAAATACTGGCTTCCAAAATATTCCAGCACCCAGTATTATAGCCTATTATTTTCCCTGACTTCCTTCCCAGCTAGTCTCAGGTACAATTTTCACGGGATATCTTCCGATGCCTTCTAATATTCCCTTTGTGATCTCTGGGTCAGAACTAACAAGCCAGCAGCAAAGCCAAGTAGGACATTTCACACTCTGCTGCACTTTTAAAGCTATGGAAGATAAGCATGTTTCACTGATCTTCCGATTTGCATGGAAAGATAAGCAAATGTGCCCGAGAGAGGTGTGCCTAACTTAACTCTTATGAAGGAAGTGGCTATCTATTACGCCTCACATTCAAAAGGGAGCTGGGACACCTGGTTTAAGGTAGGTGGCTTTAGGTTAGAAATATCAAGGTGGAGAGACCGAGTGTCTCAATTTGCAGAGGTTCCTGCACTGTCGAAAGCACGTCAAGTGACCGCTTGCATTTTGCTGCCATGAAAAGAATGGTGTGTTTTCACTGCGCCGCCTGGGTCAAAGGATGTTTTTCTTAAACCAGACGAGGTGCATCAAGAACATCACACTCTGTGGCACGGAACAGAACCCTCTACTGCACACATCTGTGATCCAGCAGCAATAATCCACGAACCGATGTGGATCAGCCACTAGAGGGGGATTTAACTTTGTCGATGATCACACGCATATTCCAAGTCCCGGAACACTGACCTGGGGTTTTAACTCCAAAAAGATTCTGGTGCTTGAGATAGACTACAGATTTCTTTGAAAGTGCAAGCAACTGACGTGAGAGTCTCGTCTCACCTTTTTAATGCTTTACTGAAGCATCATCTGGTAACAAGAATTGTGGCACGCAGAAAATACGCGCCATCCAGTCGGCTCTTATGGATCGGAGACTGAGTGGGATCACTGTAACCCAAAAATGCTGTGAGGGATGGTGGGAGGAGAGAACTTTTCCTAGTGCAAGAGCTACAAAATGTATCTTGGGGTAAAGGCAAGTCCATTCAACACGTTGGGCACTAGTGGGCTGAAACTCAATGGTTTGTGGAAAAGCTTGGTTCTATACTGTGGCCTGAGCGTTATGTGGATTATCATTCATATCATCAGGAGTTACTCTTTATATTCTCTTCTGCATGTGATCACTAGCCCTGATGCCACTTTTCCTTTTCTGACAACTCTGCCATTATGTAAGACAATGTGCTTGGAGGTATTATTTTATCATTATACTCAAAGTGTCACATAAAAATAAACAGTTTTATCTTTGTAAGAAGTGGTTACAAAGAGAACATTTGGTCTGGACAGAAACATAAGTTCTTAACAACCAGCTACACAGGTGATGTATATTGTTAACTTAAACAACGCTGTTTAAAAATACCGTAACTCACAATTCAAGTCTAACAGTATGTCTTATAGTTGCCTATAGTTATATTTCATTACATAATGAAAAACTGTCTTCTTGCTTACCAGAAAGAACATCCGTTGCTGTAAACCTTTTCCAGACAACTTACTAAGACTGCCCAGTCTGATGAACTCCTGTGGGAAACAAAATACAAAACCAATACGTATCTTCTGCAAAAAATGATGACAACCTTTTATTATGCAAACATAAATATAACTACTTGGCCATACGACTAACGCAAGTGACCAGGACTATTTATTTTACTTATTTAATATGTCAAAAAAACCGCCAAATTTTTTTCATAGGATAATTTCTTTCCATTTATAACCGTTTTTAGGATAAACTCATTCACATCTCCCACTATTTGCTAAGCAAAGTTTTCTTTACCTAACACTGATTCCTTCTGACAGCTCCTGCTTTCACCAGTTTTGAATGAATATTTTTCGTGGTACAAATGATGCAAAAACTAACTGTAAGTTGGTCTGTATGCTATTGGTTAACCAATATAACCGGTATGCTTCTGTTGTGCATAATAGCACACATAGCTCTTCACTGAGATGTAAATTCAGCAACACAAATCAACATCAGAAAAAAGGAAAAGAAGGAAAATTGTCTGGCAGCGTGAGTAATCCTAGTACCATCCATGTCATATAATACAGCACATTAATTCAGATCAAACCCTTTAAGAACGTTTAGGGATGGAATTGTAGGAAAAGCAGCACACTGAAACACTCAAAATGCTAGATTTCCTGGGCTTACTGTGAACTATACTGTAACTCACCCTTCTACTTATATGAAAGTCAGAAAAATATCATTTCTCAGTCGCTCCCTCCAGTTTCTGCCAAGAGGTTTATATTTATTTATTGCAGTCTTTCTAACATCATTCTACTCATAATGGTCCAGGTAAGAGGCATATAAAGTATCCTAATCATCTGCATCTTAGGAATAAACTGTCTAAGATTAATCTGTTCAGAGAGACACTGTGGTTGCCTTCGGGTTGCTGAGATTTGTCCAGTCCCCCTATCAGCACTGCCTAAGGGCCCAAGGGGTGGAAAAAAGCGCCTAGAGGTGGTTATCCCCACATCACAGTAGGCTCATGGTACAAGAGAGCCCACTGAAAGCTGTTGCTGGCCACCAGAGAATGTTATCGTAATTACTATTTATATGGTACCACCAGATAGTCACTACTGGGCTCAGTACGACCCCAGCAAGCGCCACGTGAACATACAGATGGAGAGTGGCCGGTCACCGCAACCTGCAAAGCACAACCCAACCATGAGATGTTCTAATGCCCCACCCAGGAACCAGGTGGCAGCAGAGACCCCAGCCTGGGACAACGTGAAGAGCATGGTTACAGAATCACAGAATTATTGAGTCCAGCCTATCAAAGTCCAAGAATTTCAAGTCCAGCCTGTGACCCAACACCACCACATCGGCCAGACCAGGGCACTAAGTGCCACATCCAGCCTCTCTTTACACACCTCCAAACACTTCCCTGGGCAGTGCATCCCAGTGCCTGAACACCCTCTCCGTGAGGAAGGGCTTCCTGAGATCCAACCTAAACGTCCCCTGATGCAGTTTCAGGTCACTGGTTGCCTGGGAGAAGAGCTCGACCCCCACCTGACTACATCCTCCCTTCAGGCAGTTGTAGAGTGATAAGATCCCCCCTGAGTCTCCTCTTCTACCCACAGCCTCCTTTAGGAGAGCTCAATCACTGGCCTGACTTGAGTTTTCTCCTCTGAGATGTGGAGCTGAGCCACCTTTGGGTTAACCCAGCCACGGGTGACAGCGGCATTTGCCCCCCAGCCAGTGGTTGCCCTGAGGCAGGGACTTCAGTCAAGGCCAGAAGGGCGTCCAAAGGGCTGGAAGCAGCAACACCCTTTGGGCCAGTGCCAGAGTGTGGTGGCCAATGTTTTTTGTATTGGCAGGCAAACAATCCTCTGCCTTTTTCTTGAACTTCCTAGGACTGCCTGGTCTTTAAACAGAATAGGGCAGCCGAAACACCTGATGACAGCACTTAATTTCAGGAGATAGGCGCATGGGCTGTGAATGTCCTGAGGGGTTTGCCAAGGAAGTGATCAGTCTGTGGATCACTGGATGGAGTCAGGAGCCATGGTGGGTGGCTGCTTGGAAGACAGGCAGTAGGCAAAGCCAGGGATTGGGGAACAGCCACAAACTCAGAAACACCTGCGCTTGGTGCTGCCTTTCCCAACGGCACATCAACTTCAAACCCCTTTTTCTAAACGTTTGACAATTACAAATCAACCAGACCCTAGGGAGCTCAGCAACCTGTCTCTTTGCCACGACTCCACTGCTGAGGCGCTGGACACAGGCACGGGAAGCAGACTCCAGGCTGTGGCTCTGGCTGGCTGCAGGGCAAGGTCAAGTGTCGCTGTATTTGCAGTTCAATGTAAAACTCTTTTTTAAAATTTTTTTTTCCCCTAAGCTGTTTCCCAGAAATACATAAGGGGCAAGAATATTCTAGTGCTGCATTTTCCCCAGCATCTCAGTTGCCGCAAGTATTGTTTTCATGCATTAAGTGCAAAAGTCAGGGGAGCAGCGAGGACATTACTTCAGCACCAGACAACTCTTTTAAGTTTGTGCTCACAGATATGTTTGCCTAGAAAAGTAAAAAAGGCTACAAATATTACACTGAGGCTTGATTATTCTGAAATAAGCCTCTGCTTTTAAAAAAGCATGATAAGTAAGGAGGTTGGTATTTTTATAACACAATTAAAAATGTTTACTTAAGGCAATACTGTCTCAAAAATTATTGCATAGCATTACACAAAGACTAAAGAGACTGCTTGCCCCCAGGGCCGTGAGTTTCAGCGTGGCACTGTGAAAAGGGCTGAAGGTCCTCCAGCACAACTGTCCTACCTTCCTTTAATCTGCCATGCTCTAGCATTGAGGGTTGAAAAAATAAAATAAAATAGAGAGGAAATGTGCAAGTGCTCAAGCTCCGAATTCTGTGATAAATACTACATTTTTACCACCTCTGTTGTAATAGATGTTTGGAATTGCCTACAACTGACCAAATCTATACATAAGAAACACCTAATAAAATAAGTAAAAAGGTAATAAAGATGATTGCTTCTTTCTGCTTTAAAGGCTGCTGTTTTCTATGGTATTATTATGTTTATATTTGATAGCTTTTAGTGAGAGAAAAAAGAATTTGCATGAGGAAAGGCAATTTCATAGCTCCTCTTAGTAAACAAGTTTCTAAAATACACCTAATGCTTTGAAATCATATCACTCCTTGATCACGATTCTACTACTCACCCTTCCTGGGATCGCCAGATTGTCTATGCCTATCAAGTCTTTCTTGAGTTCATGCAGCTTCTGGAAGTTCTCCATCTTTATCATATTGCCATGGAGCTGAGCCACCACTTCAGAAATCTCAGCCAAAGCAGCTAGATGGACAAAACCATAAAACACTTATTAAAACTTTAAAAGAATGTTCAAGAAGAAAGATGTTTTTCATCTGCAGCACTCAGCTCATGAACATCAACCTTCTTCTGTTATTCTTCTCCTTCACAGCATAAAGCTGCTCAGGCAGACTAAAACCACCAAAAACTCTGGACATCATCTTATGGAGCGAAGGGGAGAAGGTAGAGTGTTGTAATGAAGAGACAGGCTATTTCCTCAACCAAAAGTTTGCTCTATTTTAGCCCCAGGAACTTTGTAGGAACACTCAACTCAGAGCACCAATGAATGAGTTCTCTTAATGGACTTGATTTCCTACATCTCCAGTTAACCTAGGGATTTTCTCTAGGCTTGAAAACAAACGCATGTTTTCTCCCTGCCTGCAGCACACTGCGTCAAGTCCATATGTGAAAACACTGGGGAATGGCAGTGTCATTTATTAAGTCACTTCAGATGGTAAACACAGTGATCTTGGGGTTTGTCCTCGGCGCCAGCAATAGGAACAACTAAAAGGGCTGCACGTTGTTATGTCACATCACAGCTCTCATTCATTCTCTGCCAACAAGGAGTGACTTAACTCACGGGAGGGACTTTCCCAAGGAATGTCTCCATTGAGGAAAGGGATTTTTGCTGTGTGAAGAAGGCTCAGGTGCGACACAGGAGGAAGCAGGCACTAGGAAGTCCCACTTTGTGGCAGCAGAAGCCAAACCAAGCCCACGCTGCTGCCGATCTGCTTCCTGTGCCTCGTCTTTGTGCTGTGCCCACAACGTGGTAAGTCACCTTGAAGAACTAAGATGAAAATGGCTTCACCACCTGATGTTTCCTGGGGCAACAGCTCACAGGTCGGCTCCCTGTGCCATCATGCGTGTGAGCACCAACCTTGATACACACCCAAACAGACGGGCAGGTCTCTGAATGGGCTGAACACACTGATTGACTGACTTGAGTACTAGAAGAGCAGTTGAAGCATTTGTGTTAAAAAGAAAAAAAAAAAGACAGCCAAGGGAACCGTAACAGCAGTTCCTCCTCCTTACATAGTTGCTCACTGTGCAGTTCATCTGCCTGTTAGTGGGAGACCCATGCCTCTCTGCTGGGATTCATTTTTTGCTCCTTTACATTCTGACCAACAAAAATCTGCCAACACCTCAGTAAAAGTTATCCCAGAGCGATGGTGTCTCTGAGCCACAGAGTCCTTCTCATACTCTCTTATTTTCACCTCTGAATCCTGTGTGTGTATCCAACATGTTGCGACAGGATGAGCAATGAAGGTTTTAAACTAAAAGAGGGTAGATGTAGACTAGATACAAGGAAAAAAATTTTTACAATGAGGTGGTAAAACACTGGAACAGGTTGCCCAGAGAGGTGGTGGAAGCCTCGTCTCTAGAAACATTCAAGGTCAGGCTGGATGGAGCTCTGAGCAACCTGATCCAGTTAAAGATGTCTCTGCCTGATGCAGCAGGGCTGGACTAGATGACCTTTAGAGGGCCCTTCCAACTCAAAACATTCTATAATTTCAAAAGTGGTGTTGGAATCAAACGTTAATGGCTGCTGCACGTTCTGAGAAGGTGGGAATGGACACATGATTCTCATCACCTAGCCTTGGCTAGAAGAAATTCAGGCACTACTCGCTCCGTTCCAGGAGATCATTCAGGCAGAAGCTACATTTGCGTAAACATCTGTGTCACACAGCACTTCTGTGCCTCAGACCTCCAACCAAGTTACCTCCACATTTTGTGCTCATCACGCAGCATGTAAAAGAACTGAGCCAGCTGACTCAGCTAACACCATACAGCCAGGAGCAGTCGTGTCAAGCACTGCTCCCTGCCCAAGTCCTTCCGTGGATCTGCAGAGTGCTAACTGCACTGATAACACAGTTATGCTTAAATGTAGATAGCTGACAGCAAGGATGGGGGTCAGGGGTAAGAAAAGAGAAAACCAAATCATCAGAAATAGCAGGCAGTGAGTTCAGACTACAGGAAGAAAATGTCTTCACATTCGGAAAAAAACCCTGAAAACTCTGTTGGCAGCTTTGAGCTCCTGAAACAAATCATGGAAATGGTAATAGAGTAAACTATAAGTCTGGGAAAAAAGACAAATAACACTTTAAGACGTAATAACAGCAGCCATACTGGGTCAGATCAAAGGTTCACCTGGGCCAATATTCTGTATTCCTATTAGATCTCTAAGGAAAGCTAGGAGCAAGACAAGCACATATGGTATGTTCCTTGTGCTCTCTCCCAATATCCCAACTGTTTTCAGTTCAAGTGACTTCCTGAACTCCACGTCATTTCTGTGTGTTTAAGAAGCCCCACATGATTTCTCTTCCGAGTACTGGTCCAGACTGGCATAATATGTATACAAGAGCAACATTAATCCTACCATTTCTGGTTTTCTGAGTGCAACTCAATCCTCTTTCGATGTAGGCTTTAAAAAAAAAAGTTTGTTCGTTTTTCTTTTTGTCCACCCATGTACCTCTACTGGCTTTGGATGCTATTCCCGAGCTCCAGGAACTGGTGTCTTTCTTACCTCTTGAATCCCTGAAGTCTACGTGGCTTGGTGGGTAGTACTTGCAAAGCCTCTCCATGATCTGCTTGTAGTGCATAAGCCTGTGTAAAGGTCTGAGAAGGAAGGTATTGAGAGGCAAGTAGCAGACTTTCTGTAGCTCAAAATCCCTGCAAAAGGTCTCCAGCTTGCGCGAGTTCTTGATCCCATTCTCCAACTCGATTAAAATCTCATCGTGCTTCCGCAGGTGAATTGTCAGTTGCTTAGAGGCACAAAGAAAGAAAGAGCAAGTGGTAAAGCTATTAGCAATCGCTGTGAGACATGACTCAGCCCAATCCTCTTTCAGTAAAAAAATCCAACTAGCACAGCAGTGGGGATTTTGCAAACAAAATTGTTGTACTACACAACAGCTTTGATATTCGCTTGAAAAGGAGAAACGGCATTTGAAGTACATCGTGCCCCCCAGCATTCCCTGTAAAACAAAAGTAAATGAGTAAACAAAACTAAGTCTGATACTGGTGAGAAATCCAATGGCAAGGAGATGACATGAATGTAGCTCACACAAGTAGGTGCAACAGGGAGAAAGCTACACAACGCGAGTGAAGAGCTAGGAAGCAAAGTGGGAATTTCTAGGAGGATGAAGGGATTTAGTTGTCTGGATTCCTTCAGGCGCTTTTGGGGAACACGGCAAATGGACTCCTAGCTTCTGCTTCCCTGTTACTAATGAGAAGTTGCACCTCCTGGTAACCCAAACAAATGCAAAAATAGAGTTGTCTGACAGAAAATGGGTATGTCAGAGCTCTTCATCCTTGGATTATGTTCTCTTCTCCTTAGTGCAGTCTATAAGATGACCCCACTGGCAGCAGGGGAGTTACGAACCAGTCAGTGAATGAGGTCTGCACGGAATATATAACTTCATTTAGGTCCCAGTATCCCAGGCATCCAGGAATCCCACGTAAAACAACTCAGCAGTTTGTTTTTTTTTTTCTGAAAAATTAACACAGGGGTTTCAATTGTGTTTTGGGAAAGCTAAAGTGGTGCCTCAGGATGCACAGAGCTTCTCTGAGCAGCCAGATAAAGTTTCCCAGTACAGGGTAGAACAGTAACGAGTAACAAAAAGAAACTGAATGCATATGCTGAATGGCTTCAGAGGACAGTTTGGGTTAATCTAAAGTTCGTGGTTTTTGACATGTTTCAAATCAACTCCTCTCTCCTGTGGTATGTGACATCCTTACCAGAAACATTTCTTCCCTACAGCCAAGCTGCTCCCTCCATACACTGCATATTCATTTTACAGGCCTGTAACTCAAGCAAAGACACAACAGACTCTCTGGACTGCTACACAGGCTGTCCGTTAATTACTTGCTCTTAACTTCTTTCCTGTGTTAATTAAACAAGGAGTATCATTTTTCTTTTTTTTTTTTCCACAGTTCTCATGATAAATATGTAGAGTTTGAACTAACTTCATTGTTTCCTGTGCAGGCTTTGCCTATTCCCTCCACATTTCTGTGCTTATCAGTAGTGGTGGTTCTTAACGCAAAGAGAACAAAACCTAAAGGGAAAGGGAGAATGGCTAAGGTGAAAGCACATGACAGGTCTAAGTTGCAGTGAAGCCTGTGTGCTACCAGTGCCACAGAAATACCTGCAGGCGGTGAAGGACAATTTAACGTTGTGAGGTACCAAGAGCAGAAGCAGAGTCTTGTCAGAAGCTGAGATTCCAAAAACTGTTTGTGAAAAAGCACGTGCTTCTTAAGAGTAGGGATGGAGGTAGAAAAGTCCCCCCTGTGTTTCTTCCCACACTGCTGATTGGCATCTTGAGGGTAAAAAGCAGTTCCTGCTAAGCACATTGCAGAACGGGTAATGTCCCCTTATTGGTGACAAAGCTGTGTTGGGGACCGTAAATCAAGATGTCTACATTCTCTTCTTCTGATTTGCATGTCACTTAACATCTCTTCATCTCTCTCTGTCCTTCTGAAAGATAATTCTAGTACTAACTAATGGCTCGGGAGAGCTGTGAAGATTAAACAGCCCCTTCCTCCAGCCGAGGACTCAAGGCTGCTCCATTTCCTATCAGCAGGATGCCGAGGTGGCAATCACCAAGGCAGATTTATTGGATAGTTTCAAAAGCTCTTTGAGATCCAGACGCCAAAGGCGTGGTGCCACATTTTGCCACATGCTGGCCCAGATGCAGAGCAACATTACCATAAGGTGAGCTCTGTGTTACCCATCCATACTGTAAAGCTCTGCAGGGTTTTCACAGGCACCTGTGCCTGCCTTCTACACTGTTTGCTCAGTAACACAGTGACTAAGAGCATCAAAAATACTACTCTGGCCAGGCTAAGAACAGGTGCAAAGCCTGCTATAGATTTACAGTTCATACATGTATTTTTGCTTTTAGCTTTAAAGAGATCAAAGCCAATAATTGGCATTTATTCAAAAACCTTTCATCTAACTTGGGACCGTAGTACACAGAAGTTTCTCAAATCCAAACAATATCCAGGTTATGGTCACTACTTCTGCAATGGCTTAACACTTATACTTGCATGAACTAGTAGACACACTTGGCATTTGAACAATCTCTTCAGCCACAGAAATTTCGATGTTTTGTCTTCTTATTTGAAAGAAAGAAGAATTGGAAAAGAAATATTACTGATCTTTTGTGTTCATTGTTCCTGTATTTGGAGTGACGACTCAACAATTTAAAATCATCTCACAATTCTGAAATCTGAGGGCTCACTGAACGTCTGCTACTTCATCAAAGGAAACTTTTATATCATAAACCTTGATTATAATTGGCAAAAACCAGCACAAGAGGCAACAGCAGATGAAGATGAAAAGCAAAATAATTCTAATCCACGTCACAGCTTAATAGTTATAGGATGATTCTTACCTTCAGACTCTGAATGTTCTTTAGCATAACATCTCCGATTCTTTGGTAATCTCCTTTAATGTGAGCGTTAGAGCGGCCTTCCCTGTCAGCAACAGAAATAGCACACGCTTGAGTCATGCAATAAAACCACATAATCACTTACAGCAGTGAAAATAACTCAGTAGTTCATTTCTTTTAAATTCCTGACCCCCACTCTCCTTCGCTCGTGAGCGTGCAAGGAACCTTCCTGATGGACATGTAATTCTCAGGTAGGGGGAATTACCCTTCATCCAGCCTGGCTTGCACTCCTAACAACAGAGAGGGCAGGCACTTAACAGAAGGATTTGACCTTTAAAGAAAATTGCTAGCATCTTTAAACACACTGGAGAAGGCTGCAAATGGCTTGAGAAAAAGGAAGACATCAAAATCCCATCACAATACATGGGCTTAGAGCAGAAGGATAATTCTCTTGTACCCTGGTAATGGACCTACAAGTGCTCCTCCTCTTGAGAAGCTTTCTGCTTGTGCAAGGGACAGTGAGGTAAGAAAAAAATCCACCCAGCATCTGGGTTTGACTCGTAAGTGTTACATACTGGCAGGAATTTTCTTTTAGTGTGTCACTTTTGGTATTAAAAATGCAAACTGCTCCCTCCCACCCAGCCAGCTGCACTTGGGTGGGTGCTGCATTTGGGAGAAAGCCAGGTCCTGATGAAAGAGATATTCTTGATTCTAAACCCATGTGTGAGACACGCAGGGATATCACACTGACTGAATCAAAACACATCTTGAAAACACAGGAGGAAAAGAAATCATGAATATAAGAACCTAACTGTTACATATCTGCTCCAACCAAGTCGGGTTTTCAAAAGAAAATCACTATGAGGGGTGTGGGGAAAAGCACTGTTCCCTCCCCCCTTTCCGACTTCTAATACTGCCTCCGAGTTTCCCACAGCATGGCTTTTTACATACTGTACTCAATTTTTAAAATTCAGTTCAACTCCTGCATCTGCGTATTGGGCGACAGATCCAGTCCTGGTGTGAGTGACTGTAATACAGCCGAAGAAACGCACCACCTCCGAAGAGGAGAGAAATATTATCAAGCTTTAAATGAACCCAGAGATAACAGGACCTCTGTTTTGTGTTATCGCTAAATGGATATATTTCACCCATTTGCCCTAGTGCACGCTTTTAAGCAAATTCCACATGTAGTGAAAGAATAGATGGACAACCAAGTGGTAAATGTCTCCATTCCTTAGTATCGGCGATTTAGTCAGAAAGGTCCCACTTGCACCAAATTATAGTGGATGTAGCTGCTCTTAGGAATATACTCTCACTGGTAAGACATGTATAGTTTTATGTTTTTAAAAAATCCATATTATAATGCAAATATTCAGACATACATTTTGTTTTGTAAAGTTAAACATGGTTATATTCATGCTGGATAATCTCTCTGGATGCTTTCCTAATGGAGAAATGTGGAGGGCACAGCCTAGGAATATCACACGGTAGCATCTCCTATTTTATCCTTCACCAGACATAGAGACCCAGCTGATAAACAAGGCATTGCTCCACATTCATCTGAACAATATCCAGTTTCATAGGCTGTCTTTAATTATTTCCTATTGTGTTAAGGCTCTCAGGCATTCACATGCCTATTTAAGCAAGAAGAATACTGTTCTTAACAAGACTTTATATTTTTTCTGAACTCAAAGGTTACACTGGGGTAGGAAGCTAGGTTATATCAATGGCAACTTTAATTAGCACTGCTGGTTTTGCACAAACACTGCTGCAGTCCAAATATGCCCAAGAAATGGTCTATATTGCAAGGAACAGCACAGGTAGGTACGGATGCTACAAGAATACAGTTTCCACACTACCTGAGGAGAAGAGTCCAATTTGTCTCTGCGGGAAGCCTCTCTCTACCAAGTCGTCTCCCCTCTATGCTGTTCCCTGCCTTTCCCCTGCCCCATCCGGCAGCTCTCACCACTGAGATTTTCTGAGAGGTTGTAAATAAACTTTCCAGCCACTAAAGCTCTGCCTCAAGCAGCTCGTATCAAAGTGCCCCTGACTGAAAACCGCAACCATTTGAAGTCCAAGGCAGTAGCACCGCGCCAGCGGGAAGCGAAGGGAAGTCGCCTTCCTCCTGCGCAGCTGGCATCCAGCTTTCCACCCCAAACGGTTCACGCTGCGCCGCTGCACGTGATCCCAGAAATGTCAAAGCCAGATGAATCTGTGCTGCTGCCAGTAACGGCATGGTATTTGGTAATTATCTCTAGAAGAATTCTTGATTTATGAGTTATTCGCTGTAACTCTCTGGCACTGTCTGGATCCTCTTTTATGGCTCTGCCTTTGATTTAATCTAGTGGACTTTGGCAGTTTGGTATCTTTCTGATTTAACTGCCAAGATAAATATTAAGTACATCATTACAGGCTGCTATTTCTAAATAGAAATTGCTTTTCTGATCTCAAGGCTACAGTACAGGTTGGCTAGAATACTCGTTGCAAAATTCTTACCTGCTAGCTAGCTACTTGAAGGCTGAACCCAAGCCTACTAAAGTCATAGTGATTGCTTCCACTGACTTTGTGAATTCCAGCTAATATTTAGTGCAGCTGTTCATTGAACAGTCAGGTCCTTACTTCCTAAAAATTGACCCCCTGGCCCCTCTTCAGCACAGCCAGCACAGACTGCTTCCACAACATCTCATCACATCAGTCACATGCAAAGCACTGGGAACATTCCCCTTCGTTGGCTTTGGGCACAGACCGGTCCGAGGCTTTTTTTTTTTTTTTTAATGGTTTGAAGGCTTTCAAATCTTACTCTGCATCTTGGCGGAGAGACACAGTAGGGGAGAAAGGAGTTCCCAAAAAGCAAGAGCCTCTCTCCGGCGGCTAAGAGCTGAATTGTACCAGAGCCCTCAGCCCAGGCCAACAGAGATAACCTGTGCCACAGGCAGATGAGTACAGCTGAAAGAAATAAAACCCCAGGAAAATCCAGAAATGTGCTGGTCAGGTATTGCTCCTCGTTCCAGACATTCTCTTTGCTTTGGTTCGTTATTTCCACACAGACATCACCTCTTGCAACAGAGATGATTCTGCCGCCGGGGATGGTGCACAAGCACGCAGGCTGTGATGTGGAGCGGAGAGGCAGGGAAAGCTGAGGCCAGGCACAGGGGAACGTGACGGCTTCACATCTGCCTCCTAAATTCCACTCTCCACCCCAGCTCTCAGCTGGGACTCCACAATAAGCCCTCTGCTACACTACCCTCTTCCCCAGCTCCTCCACATGTAAATCTCAAATAAACAAGAAGAAACCCTAATGAGAGAGCATCCGAATACAGGGAACACCAAAATAAAACCAAACACCAACAACATCAGATGGTGTCTCGCTGCTTCAAGAGCCCAAAGCACAGCAGCAAAGAGAGCTCTGCCTGCGGTGTGTGTTTTGAATAACAACACAGCTTGCTGGGGGGGAAGAAGATGTTCATTTGTTGTGCATCGATGGCTAAATTGTTCTTCTCACTCCTTGTTTCCATGGGTCACTGTTTGAACATGGTACCTATCTGCCAGTGACAAGGGACAGAGCTCAGAAACCTGATTCTTACAAATTTTCATCAGGAGCTGATTTATGACTCCCAGCTCCATAGAAGATGCAGGAGCTGCTTTCCCCACACACAATGTGCCCTCACTCCACTGTATGTGTGGGGAGGTCTAAAGCCACTGACAATCATGCTGAATAGTGGAGATATTATTCTATAATAAGCTCATTTCCCATTTTTCTCCAAATAGTCTTTTCCTTTTTACAATAATGCAAGTATCAATTGCAAGCTAACAGAAGGAGACTGACTTTGATACCTGATAAGGAACTCAGACACTACCTTACATGGTACTAAAAATGGGCAATGGCTTGACTCAGAGGAACTATGCAGGCATCTATGTTGGATTTCTGAATTACATTAACTTTTTGGTGTACATCACTGAAAAACGAATGGAATGAACTCTCAAGTGAGCCCACACTGCCCTCAAGCATCCAGTAATGGTAGTAGAAGGAACAGAAATTTGATGGGGATGGTGGGAAGGCAGAGAAGGAGAGAAAGGTATCTCAAGAGATTTTTTTTCCTCCCAGGTAAACAGAAAAAAAATTGATTGCAGTCATTCAGTTGCAGCAAAACAAATCCATTGCAGCAAATGGCATTTACAGTGTGTGACCTTCTGTTACATGCTTGGGAACAGCATCTTCCTCCTGGATACTACAGCTTGTCTTTGAGCACTTAGGCACTTGTGACTTTTTAAGAGTATTATTAACTGAAGTTATAATATTAAAGAATACCTTAAACACTCCCCTAGTACAGCTGCCTTTTAAATAAGATGAACGTTTTGTAACTAGAAGAGAGTCGATAAAAACAAAACATCCTCTTCCTTGCTCACAGCCTGCTATTACACAGTGCTTGTTCACAGAATCCCAGAATTGTTGAGGCTGGAAAAGACCTCTGAGGTCAGCAAGTCCAGCCTATGACCCAACACCACCACATCGGCCAGACCACAGCACTAAGTGCCACATCCCGCCTCTCCTTAAACACCTCCAGGGACGGTGACCCCAACACTTCCCTGAGCGGTGCATCCCAGTGCCTGAGCCAGTGCATCCCAGTGCCTGAGCACCCTCTCCATGAGGAAGGGCTTCCTGAGATCCAACCTAAACCTCCCCTGACGCAGTTTCAGGCCGTGCCCTCTGTTCTGTCACTGGTTGCCCGGGAGAAGAGCCCGACCCCCACCTGACTGCACTCTCCCTTCTGGCAGTTGTAGAGAGTGATCAGGTCCCCCCTGAGTCTCCTCTTCTCCAGGCTAAACACCCCCAGCTCTAATCCCCCAGAAGTACCCAAAAGTGACTCCAGCAATGCAAACTGTCCTCTCAAAAGTGAGCGCGATACACAGGCACCGAGCTCCTCTTACTCTCTTTGACTCAGGAATCCACACTGTGTGACTCTCAGGTTCATCCTACAATACATGCGTTATTTCCGTACATAGGTCAAAGACACTGTCACGTTAAAGGGGCAAAACAGTTTGGCAGAAACTAAACCCCTTACGTTCCAGTTTGTCCTCAGATAT